ATCCAAAGTAGGTTGCATGTGAACTTAGGAATTGTTTTCTAGTTTATTTGTTTTACCTAAATCCCATCAGTAATGTGCCATAATGTGTGATGCAGTCAATTTATACAAGGTGATCAAAAGCAGCGAACAAAAAATTTTAGTAGTCACATCGTATGATTTTTAGATATGACATGCATTTTTTAGTGCATTGGGTGCTAATAATGACATCAATGTTCTAGACCAATCTCCGATATTCAATGATATCTACCTTGGGAAATCGTATGATGTGCCGTTTCCAGCAAACGAGACATCATATAAGCGTGAGTATTACCTTACTGATGAGATATATCCCGAGTTAGCTGCATTTTTTAAATCATTCTCATGTTCAAATAATGAAAAACGAATAAAGTTTATGTTGACCCAATAATCTGCTAGGAAGGATATCGAGCAAACATTTGGTGTTTTAAAAAGACAGTGACAAATACTCTCAATACCGGCATGATCATTCGAGCGAAAAAGAATAAGTAGTCTGATGTACGCATGCATCATATTACATAATATGATTATAAAAGATAACGGGAACGTGATTTGCCACTACAATGAAAATAAAAATTTACCAAATGTCGAAGGAGTAGGTACCGGTACATCGGCATACATGGCAAACAGAGGGGAAGTATACGACAAAGTTGGACACCACAACTTTAGTGCTGATTTGGTGGAACATATCTCCAATGCTCAAGTACATCTTGTTGTTAAAGATTTTGAAGACGATTTTGATGATACGAATGACGATTTGTACATGTTTGTAGATGATTCAGGCGAAGATTATAATGACATGTCGAGCGACGATAATTATGATGATTAGATGTCACGTATTATTCTATTATGTTTTTTATTTATGTTTTTAATTTAGTATATATTTTTTTAATTAATGAAGTATTTTCATTTTATTAATTTTATATAATTACATTTTATTCAATTAAAAAAAGATAAATAAAAGTGTAATTAATATGATACCTATAGGGTATGGAAAATGATGTGACAATAAAGTAACAGAGAAGTAGTGGGGTAAGGTGTGATATAACACCCATCTAAATAGACATGATAACTCACCAACTAAGCTATAGATATGATAAATCATCTATTCATTGAAGTTATGAGTGACCATGAGGCCAAATTTGAATTAAACGGGAATTGGATAATATTATGTGTACAAAAGCTTTAGTTTATTGGTATTTTTTATAAATGCAAAAGTTAAATGATATTTTTTAAACAATTTTAAAACTTAGTTAACGTCCTAATAACTCATTTTCCAAATCTTTTGGTAGACAAAATAAATAGATTGAGAGTGTGTGTTAATTAAAAAAAAACCAAATATTGTTTTTTAAATTAATATCCAATCATACAAAACTCGCTAGAAACTCCGCTTTTAGATTATATACCTGTGTGAAAAGAATTTGGAAACGCATTTAATGTCCTATTTATAATTTTACGAGTTTAAGTAAAAACCCTTTGAGTATGTATTTTTGTGAAGATTTTGGGAAACGCGTTTAATGTCTTATTTATGTTATTACGAACTTACGTAAAAAAAATCAAAGCATGGTAGAATCATATATTAATTCAAGACATATTATTAGAAATCAATCAAAAAATATTTTTAATTAGATAAAAAGTTGATATTAAAAAATACTAATTCAAAAAATATTTGAATCACAATAAGTTCCACGCGTTTTCTCCCGTATGTAAAGTGTAGATTTAGTTGAAGTGTATATATATAACTAATAAAATTTTATTTTAAAACTTTAAAAAGTAATGTTATTTATAAAAACCCAAAATACTTAAATTTTTTTTCATTTTTATTTTGTTTGTTTAGACGTTTTACACATCTTATCTTTTTTAACATCTATTTATGTAACATGCAATCTTACATTAGTTATTGTAAAATTATGTTTTATTGCGATATGAGTTTGATGTTGTGTCGCATGAAATTATGAGTATCTTGTTTTTAGTATGTGATATCCATTAATAATTTAAGAACCAATTAATAAGATTCAATGAGTCGAATAAATTCATCACAATAAAATGCATATTAAAAAACATAATGTGAATATATGTTTTACTCGTCGCATAATATTCATTGGGGGAGAGATGAAGAAGCCATGAAGTTAGAGTTGCTAGAAATCAAAATTTTGATGTTGGGACGAATAATTAACAGTCAAAATATGAAAAGATGAAGCACATGGACAAAGTTAAACCAACATTCAATGTCCACTGCTTTGAAGCAAAGTTCCAAAACACTTTATCGTCCAAAAACATGAGCCAACTGGCCGTGCAGTTCACCATATTAAGTAAAAATCCTCATGAGGCTACTGACAATTGGTAAGAAACTCACAGGAAGCAACTTGATACGCAATGCACCATAATTAGTAAAAATTCACACGCTATTCATCATTTATATACACCACTTCCTCCATATTCATCTTACACCTTCTTAGCTTACTCTTCAACCTTAAGAAACCCATTTTTTTTCTGCAGTAAACCTTGCTCTGAACCATATCATTTATCAAGTTTCAAAGATCGACACAAAGACGAAAATATGACATCATGGTCTCATTTGGACTTATACTACATATGTGTCGGTGGAGCTATCATAGTTATGATAGCCGTAATCATGTTATGTCTCTTTTGTAGATGCATGTTTCAGTTATGTAGATACATATCGGGGTTTCGGGTGATAGGAAGGATGCACTCCTCTGTGCCAGGGAGAAAGGATATTAAATCCACGGTTCTAGGTGAGTACGATAGCCGCCACATTGGACAACGGGACCCTTCAAGGCCAAACTCTGCAGATTGTGCAATTTGTTTAGGCATGTTCGAGCATGGTGAGATGGTTAGGCTTTTACTAAATTGCATGCATTATTTTCATGCTGACTGCATTGACAAATGGTTAGACTCAAATTCCACTTGTCCAATTTGTGGTCATGAGGTGGGGCCACGTCGTAGGCCCTGATCTTTCGAGCCTCGTACTACGCTAGTGGTGGGCTGCCTTTTGTCCTTTTGGTGACCTATATCAATATCTATGGAAGGGATATCACATGATCAGTATGAGATGGTATAATAACTTATTTGGAGCATATATTGACGACCTAGTTGAAGCTTCAACTCCAAAATAGTGTGACTTTTGATCCCTAATAAGTGCTGAAGCCCATTTTATATGGACGGATTGCTCTGTAAGGGATTAAACCTTCGATTTTCAGTTTCTTTTGATTTCGATTCATTTTCATTTTCTAGTATTCCATAGTAAATGTAAAATCATGTAATCGATCTCTGATAATTATGTGATTATATAGCTTCTTAATTTTAGTAAATTGGTGTTTATTTATTTTTGGAAATTTGAGAATCCTGCCAAATTTAGCTCCACCTACATGAATGTATGTTTTTAGAGACACCTTGAATTGAATAAACATGCAACTTCACTTTGTGAACTCCCGAAGAATATTTGTTCTTAGTTCCGTTCTACATATATAGTCATCAAAAAAATCAACGGAACAAACACGAGGTCGAGTAGTTTTTAGGATGTTTTGTATGGTTTGTTCTTTATGTCACATAAAGTCTTGTACACAATAAAGAATTGAAGATCTTGAAAGACAATAAATCGATCGATATTACAAAATTGATCATACGTATTGATATGTATTTATTTACATATGATCACCTCATGGGATGAGAAGAATAACCACATTTTGCAAGAACAATATTCATTTTGATAATTTTGTTATGGCTTCATAGCCTTCATTGCAGTACAACAAATTAATTTGGCACATTACGTCAGAAAACTTATGAGTTATGAAAGGAATTATTCGTACATCCACTACTCTTATCTTTTCTTAAAAAGATTCCATTGTTCTTTCGATTATTCGTTATCTAAGATTCTAGAAAAAAAAAGAAGCAGATCTTTTTTTTTTTCTGAAGTTTTGAAAAAAGAATTAAAGATTTAATAATTAAAAATATTTTTAAAATAGTACGGACCTGTTTGTTTGCATCTTAATACCTCTTAATAAGGGGTAGGTCTGAATCTTTAAGATTCAAACCGTTTGTTTACCTCTTAAGTTTTGATCTGAATCTGAATTTTAGCATTTACCGAATCAGATTTGAAACTCCATCTGAAAAAAATAAAGACGTGTTATGCCATTAACCCCAAAACACGTTCTCTCTTTCTCGCCCCCTTCTCCTCCTTCTCACCCGCTTCTTCTCCCTCACCGATCTCCAATAATCGTCCACCTCCTCCGATCTACAACACCGCCTCCGACATCAATGCCGTCTTCGACATCGTCGCCGACAACAAAGCCCTTCGGCTCCCTCATCGACGCCGGTTCTCTTCCACCCCTTTCTCCTCTTCCTCTGATTCTGTCTGCATCCATTCGGTCGGCAACGTCGCCGCCGCCGCCGACTTCGCATCCGCCTCCGGTTGCTTCACCTGTGCCGCCTTCACCTCTGGTATCTTCTGCAGGTAACATTTTCTTTTTCTCTTGTTATGTAATTCGAGTTTAATGCTTAAAAATCTAGTGTGTTTCCCCTGTAATTCGAATATCAGAGAATCGTTACTTTGAGGTTAGTTTTGGTTCAGTCTTGATTTATGATAATGTGTTGATTTCTGAAATATATGGGGTGATTTCTGATTTTGTGTTTATTTGGTGAAATATGTTGTTGATCTTTGAAATTTGATAATGTGCTGAAATGTTGTTGACATATTTTGCTGATGAAATCATATGCTTTTTTGTTTTGCTTGATGAAATATGAATATTAGCATGTTATGGATTCACTAAATGAAAGTACAATGTTATATATTGAACAGGTGGTGTCTATTAATGGAGGATATTTCATACCCACAAGCTTAAGGAGTTCATTAACATTAGATTTGTTATGGATGGAGATGGTTCTAAAAGATTTCACAAAGCAATGAAAGCATGAGCTTTGGGTATAATCAAGAAATGATAGTGTTATGTTTAATTTGGATTTATGTTTAATCTGGATTTTATATGGTGTTTGTAAATTTTTTATAATTATTCAAGAAGTTGATTCGGTTATTTTATAAAAAACGTTAAATTTAGCAAAAATAACATAGAAGGGTAAAATGGTCATTTTTATAATTCAGCACTGCAATTCAGAGATTCCAACCAAACATCATTTGAAAATTCATATCTTAAAAATTCAGACCCTCTTAGAAATTCAGACCTCTTAAAAATTCAGCTCTTATAAATTCATATCCTGCCAAACAGCCCCTACATATATAAAAGCATAATTTTAATTTTTTAAAAGTAAAAAAACCACGTGAAAGACAGCGTGTAACAATTTGACTACGTAGGATCGACGTTTTAAGGCAAGTTAGGATGGTTATCTTTGGAAAATAAAAATAAGTTGTCATTGTAAATCCTAGGTTTTTAACACAAATTAAACCATTTTTTACATATATCATAACAAATTCTGTGTACATCAAGGGAATCTTACAATACCGTTGAAGTAAATTACACAAATAGTTCCTATGATTCCCTAATTTATTTTTTTAACTTGAAAAATCCCTACTGTCTGTTTTTTTACACGTTTGGTCTCTGTCTTACCTAAAAGACTATTATTTAAATAGGAAAAAATAATGGGGTAGGTAAGGTAAGGTGAGGGGGGTGGGGTGGGGTTGGAGGTGTGTTTATTTAAATATATTAAAAATCAAGGGCAAAATAGTTTTTTTAGGTAAGACAAAGACCAAGATGTAACAAAAACAAACAGTAGGGACTTTCCGAGTTAAAAAAATAAGTTAGGGACCAAACATGCAAATTACCCTAAAACATAGGGACCATTCGTGTAATTTACTCATATCCTTGTGTAAGATCCCAAGCCAGACGCTACTAACTCCACTTCATGCTATTACGTTTAGCCAAACCTAAAAGACACACACAACAAAATGGTAAGTGTTTGGACCAGGATCCTTACTATATCCAGGATATTCAAATATCCATGATCCTCAGCGACATCAGGATCTCGGCCAATTACCGTTATTATTTTTATTAATATTTATAACGGTCATATTTTGTCTATAACTAACACGTGTGCAGAAGTAGTTAAGGGAAGACCAATTCTCAGCGAAGAATCATCTCAACTATGCTAAAGACTCAGAATACTTGGCCAAATAATGTTCACAAAGCTGGTCATAGAGGATCCCAGAAATATCAGACTTCTTGTTGTCTAGATTAGACTATAAATTGACACTTGTAATCTGAACACAACACACAAATTCTTAGTCTAAGCTCACTCTACGAATTTCTATATTCATTCTTACTAAAAACTCACTCTAATCTTTACTTTATATCAATAAAATCATCAAGGCAGGTGATCATTATCACCTCCCAAGGTTTTATGTCAAAGATCCTAACAAGGATCAAGGGCTTTCCTTGTAAACCATCGTGTCACCTTTCTATTACTACTTGCTATTACACAATCTGAACATCACAACCTCTAATTCAATTTCGTTGATTAGTACTTGTATAATTTTTGACCAAAACAATTTGGCGCCCACCGTAGGGCCGTGGTGTTCAAAAATCCACAAAAAATATCATGCCTACATAACTGATCCTCTCTTCATCCTCTGCTCCTTCCATTCCATCCAAAAACCTACAACCTCCTCCGAGTGGACCCCCCACTCAGAGGAAAACGCCTGACACTTCCAAGAAAAATACCCCCTCAATCGCTATTCCAGAAAGTTTTGGATCTTCAGGGCTCCATGATCCGACTGCCTCAGTCACTATTGCAGAACTCTACGCTATGATGAAAAAAATGACGCAACAGGTAACCCAACAGCAGGAGGAGAATAGAGCACTACTCAAAGAAGTGGAGAGGATGAAGGCGGAATTTTAGAAATCCCATGAAACTACGCCCACAGTTGTGCAACCAAGGATCCTGGACTTCAGTAATGCAGGATCCTCAGAAAATCGCCAGAAGGATACGATTCCTACCATTGTGGCGTTACCCTGGGGGTAACTATGGATAACCGAGTGTCCATGATCAATGATCTCAATGAGCCTTTCAACACTCCTGAAAACCTAGATTCTAGAAGTTTCTTGAACAACAATACTATTAATACTAACTACACTAATGTTGATGCAGGAATAAACCCGAACATGGCTAGGGAACTTCAACAATTGAGACAAATGATCGGCAATGTACCCGGAGTGGTCCAACCAATACAAGAAGCGTCTCCCACAAGCCACATGATCTCAAGATTCGCTCCTGAGATAGCCGATACCGAAGTTCCTAAGCGCTTCCAAACTCCCAGCATGAAACTATACGATAGAACTACGGATCCCGAAGAGCATGTAGCCCAATACAGAGAAAAGGATGGAGATCATCCCCATCCCTGGGCACTTGAAAGAAGCTTTCCTGTGCAAAGGATTTGGTTCAACCCTTACGAGATCAGCCCTCAAATGGCTACTAAACGTTCCCCCGTATTCTATTACTTCATTTGCACACTTAGTCAATATCTTCAATAACCAGTTTTCTTATAGCAGAACCTTCGAGAAGATCACTAGTGATCTTTACCGTGTGGTTCAATATCCTAAGGAGAAGCTTAAGGACTTTGTTAACAGATTTGGAAGGGAAGCTTTGAGAATCCCCAACCTCGACATGGCCACCATTGTGGAAGCTTTTAAAATGGGATTAAGAAAGGATTCACCTTTCTATGAAGACCTTGTGATGACCCCTTGCAAAATGCTGGATGAATTCAGGTGTCGAGCGTTGAGATTCATAAGGCTCGAAGAAGATAGAGAGATCCAGAAAAGAAGCAACCCTTCGAATCAATATGAGAACCCAATAGGAAGGCCAAATCCTCAACTCAGAGATCCTACAAATCGAAGCCTTATTCCAAACCGGATCATCACAGGGTTAATGTCCTTGAAAGATGCAGGAGAAGAAGAAGAACTTCCTAAAATCACTAACTATTGTTTCTATGTGGATGTTTCAGGTGTAATTCACGCTATGCAGGATGTTGGATATAAAGCAAGATGGCCAAAAAGAGACAACAAATCCACCGCTTGGAATGACAAGTCCAAATGGTGTGCTTACCACGAAGACATTGGCCACATGACAGAGGACTGCATAGCCCTACGAAAATAAATCAACTATCTCCTTAGCAAAGGACACCTCAAAGAGATCCTCGGGAGAAAAAGAGAAAAATCCAAGGAGAACAGCCAAGATGATCACAGGATCGCGGAGAAACCAGGATCTCCACCCTATGACGCTAAGATAGTTAACGTTATCTCAGGCGGATCTAACATCTGTGGTACCTCTTATTCTCAGGCTAAAAGACACGCCAAGGTCTCCAAAACAGAAAAAGAGGACAGACCATGAAAAAATACCATGGTCAATATTGAAAAAGAAATCACATTCGACGAGACCGAAAGGGAAGGAATTCAGGATCCTCACCATGATGGACTCGTGATAACACTGTACATGGCCAACCATTTCGTCAGAAGGATCCTCGTTGACGGAGGATCCTCAATCAATATCGTACTCCTAGACGCGCTGAAGAGAATGAACATCCCAGAATCAAAGATAGTCAGAAGATCCTCAGTCCTCATAGGATTTAGCGGGGAAACAAAACACACAGTTGGAGAAATAAAGCTACCAATATACATAGAAGGGGTAAAATCATACAAAATTTCAGTGTTATTGACACCTTATCTTCTTATAATGTGATACTAGGTAGACCATGGATCCACGAGATGAAAGCGGTTCCATCAACATACCATCAGTGTGTGAAATTGCCCACTTCATGGGGAACAGTGAAGATCATGGGAGATCAACAAGAATCGAAAGAATGCTATAAAACCTCTATGAAATCTGCGACCAAACTCCAACAAGCATAACAATTAAGGAAGGGGGCACGACATGTTCTAGAGACAAAGGAACAAGACGTAAAGGAAGTGCCCCTAGGTATTGAGGATCCCGAAGCTAAAGTCCTCATAGGATCCTCAATGCCCGAGCAGATTGAGTAGAATCTATTGGATTTCTTAAGAACCATAAGCAAGACATTCACATGGAAACACGAAGATATGACAGGTATAGACAAGAGTATTATTACTCATAAACTTAATATTGATCCTTCTTTCAGACCAATACACCAAAAGAGAAGGAAGTTCGCACCCGAAAGAAACCAAATCATTCAGGAAGAGGTAGAGAAGCTCCTCAAGACAGGGATGATCAAAGAAGTGAAGTTCCCAAGATGGCTAGCTATTGTGGTTGGCGTACAAAAGAAAAACGATAAATGGAGGGTGTGCGTAGATTACATGGATCTTAACAAGGCTTTTCCTAAGGATCCTTTCCCCCTACCACATATTGACTCTATGATAGACGCCACGACTGGTCATGAACTCCTGACCTTCATGGATGCTTCAGCAGGATTCCAACAAATCCAAATGGAGCCATCAAACCAAGAAGATACTGCATTCATAACACCAACATGTATATATTG